GCCCTGGTGCCCTGTTGGACAGGCTGCAGCTGGGAGTGCTCCGGCCCAGGCCTGGTTAGAGCCTGCTGGAGAAGACAAGGAGCAGTGTGGTGCTGAACTCGCTGCCTTCAGCTTCTCCGCTGTGCGCCGGCTGCACGAGCACTGAAATCACCTCGGCTGACATTTCCTTTGCTGTTCAAGGATCCAGCTGGCAGGAATGAAGATAGTGCGGACCCCCCCTGCCCTGGGACGCTACCGAGCCATGGAGCACGGGGAGAGGGAGAGCCAGGGGCCCTGGAGGAGGTGAGGGGCTGCTGGGGCTGTGGGGCAGGCTGGCTGCTGCCACCACCTGCCTCCCAGCAGGCACAGAGTATTCCTAATGCTGCTCCTCCTTGCTCTGCCCTACCGTGGCTGCCTGAGGAGGGCTCCCAGTTAGTCTGGGCTGAGTCACTCTACACTTGAACGGCTGCTTCCAGCTTCCTGCTGCTAAGGGCATGGGCTAGCTCGGAACCTGACACCTGGCAGGTGGCACCATCAAGCTATTCAGGGAATAAAATCCTAAAAGCACTGCCTGCTTTCTAAAGTTCAGTTTGAAGAGGCATTTTTACAATTTCCCTGAAACAAGAATCAATTCAGCCTCTGTGGATTTACAGCATGCCATTAAAATAGTGGAAGGTGGCATTCTACTTTGAAGACACAAGGAAGGTGCTATGAGACTCTAGCAGAGACCTGTCTTCATGTTAAAGAGCTGGAGGAGGGTGTTGGGTCGAGTGTGGTGGAGGCTGCTCATACCAACAGAGCAGACTTACCTGTCAGCTCAAAATTCAAGTTCCCCTAACAAGCTCCCCACAGCAGCCCGTGCACACCCCTGCTGCCAGCCTGCCACACTCCCAGGGGCCTCCAGGCTGTGCCAGTCCCCTGGGTCTGTTCAGACTGCAGTTACTGCTTCAGTGGCCCCCCTGTCTGCCTGGCCTCCAGTCCAGCCTGTCCCTTTGCTTAGAATACTCAGTGTGAACTTTCTGTAGTATGAGAGAAGAGTTTTCTTGGCTCTTTTCTGCTAGCAGATGAAAGCTGCCAAGGCCTTGCCCCCCCTGGAAACCTGTTTCTCCTGCAGCCCCAGCTGCAAACATCACCCTTGTTCTTCTCACTAACTGCAGGTTCTCTTCATTCTCCAGGCCTGCCTCCCGACACGACACCAGGCAAACGTGGAAAGATGATGGGATGAATTCATTAGAGTTCAAGCTGCTCTCCAGGACAGAGCATCCTCTCTACACCAACCTCACCGTGGACATTGGATACGTTCCCCTGTTTCCTTAGGCACAGGGAGGCAGCAGCAGCTTGGGCTCTGCATGGCAGCACCTCTCTGGGCACCACCTGCACCTCCCTGGGGGGTCTGCACCCCTGGGCACCAGTCCTTTTCTCTCCCATGGGTTTTGCTTTTCTTCCACTTAAGATTGGAAGGAAAGGCTTCAGGAATGACAGCTAGTAACAGGCTGTGGCTTACAGTAAGAATTGTCCACCCACTGTAGAGCATAACGACGGAGCCAGACCCCCTCCCAGGCAGCACGCTGCCACAGGCCTCCTGGAACCTTGGGTCCAGGGCTGGCTGGCTCTGTCCTGCTTCCTACTTCTGTCAGACAGGCCCCTGAGGTGCTGAAGCCAGTTACAGTTCTGTAAATACCTTTTGTGAATTTCAATAAATAAATTGAGTTATGTGTTTGCATTAAGATGAGATTCTACAGTATTCAATGTGTAATAATGGAGAAAGTGACCCAAAAGGAGGCAAAACCACAGCTCAAGTCCTGGGTTTGGGGTTTTTTTTTGCCCAATCCATTACTGTCTAAGTGTTTTTATTGCAGCTCTAAGTAATCTGGGCTGAACGGGCCCTGCCAGTGTGACCTAGCCTGACCTCCTGCTCAGAGCAGGGAAATGAATCTCCTATTTCAGCTGCTGCCCAAACATTCATTACCTCTGGAGGCTGGTCTGCCTTCAAATGAAATACTTCTGAGAAATAAAACACTAGAGGAAAAACTAAGTCAAACATGTCAAGAGTGGAGCTGTGACCCTGGCAGGCATGCAGTTGTGCTTCCCCGACTGGGGCTCTGCCCAAGCCCTGTCCCTTCTGCCCCCTTCCTGCACGCAGCCAGTCGGCAGCACTGCCCCTTGTTCTGCAGGCACCACAGAGGCATTTTTGCCTGTCACCTGTAGACACTGAAATTTCCTGGTCACTGAAGAGCTGTATCTGTCCACCAACACCTGAGAACTTACACAAAGCTTCGGTCTCTGTGCCAATCAACTAGAGAACCACTCTTTGATGTTACAGTAAGCAGAAGCTGCTTCTTGTCCTGTTCACCTGCTGTCCCACAGGACTCCCCCAAGGGTGGTGTCACCTACCTGCACGGGCCATCTAAGGAGCAGGGGGCAGGGCAGGTAGGTGTAACACAGCAAGGAAAGGCTCTAATCAAGACTGTAGCAGAAATTCTGTAGCATAATGGGACTGTTACTCATCCATGGACCTCCACCTGTCTCCTAAGATGAGACTCACACTAATGGTGGCCTGAGCAGGTACCCAGACGTGCTCCCTGTGGTCCAGAGCACTCAGAGCTGTGGGCAGGGAGGTCTCTCCATGATGGAGCTGGCCACTGCACCTCCTCCAGGCCCCTGCAGACCCACACAGCCTGCAGCCCACTGCAGCAGGGCCCCGCGGCCTGAGCCGAGCTCCTGAAGGACAAGGGAGGGCCTCTGAATGTAATGGAGTCTTTATTGAGAGACTGAACATCTCCTTACCCATTACCCTTCCTGCACGCCAGCAGATTTTCTGCAGGCTGGAAGAAATTTGCTTTTCTCAGCAAGTTTGTAAATGGTGAAGAATTCTTGTGCTTTTAAGAAGAGAAGCCTGGCCTGTTCCTGTTGAGGTCCCAGCAGTGTGAGGCAGCCTTCCCCTACAACAAGTAAGTACTTCAGGAAAAGCTGCAAGAACAATTTTTCCTTGCAGACCCTTAGTTGAAGGCCTTTCACTGGAGCAGCCCAAAGGACACTTGTGGAGACGTCCCAGCAGAGAGTGCCCAGAACACAAGGACCTGTCCCTCTGGTCAGTCTGTATCTCCAGTCCTCACGGGAGGAAGTTCTGAACCCATCAGTTAGATGCTGTGAAGAAACTCCCTCCTGTGCCACTGAAGTGCTCTCAGGCAGAGTGCAGGAGTCTCCTGCCCTGGCAGCGAACGTCCCGGGCGCAGACACGACCTGGTGCCGTTCCCAGTGGCCTCTGTGGGGCTCACCCTTAGGAGATCTTGGGCCCCGTGCTGAAATCCACCGTGATGTTGATGTATAGAGGGTTATGTTCCACTGAGAGCAGCTTATAGGAGCAGGAGTTCAGCCCATCTGTCTTCCATGTCTTGGATACCTGGCGCAGAAGCTTCAGCCTGAGGACAGAGGAGAAGCTCTTTATGGACAGGTACAGGACAGGAGTTTTGAGCTCTTTCCCACTACTGGTTAACTTGAAGCAGAGCTGCTGCCATCCTGTGTCTACTGGGAACATAGTTATCCTCCTCCAGCCCTCAGCATGGACAATCAGGGGGGAAATCCTTTGGTTTGATCCCTGAAACCAAACCTATGTAACTGTACCTCTGGAGGCCCCTGAAGAACATCTCAGTTCTAGGCAGACCTTATGCACAGAGCAGCAGCTGCCACCTGTGAACAGGGGTGTCACAGGGGTGTCCCCCTGAGCCTCTGGGTACCATGAAAACCCTACTGGGCCTAGAGAAAAAAACCAGCCCCCAGGTGCCAGGCTCCTAGCCACATACCAAGACAACACAAGGTGGAAGATGGTTGTGGACTCACCTCTCTCTGTTCTCCTCGTTACCTTGGTCTCGTGTGTGGAAGATCATGGTGTACCTGCCCACATCAGCAGATGGCCTGACCACTGTCATCTTCTGCATCTCAACCCTGGAAAAACAGTAACACCATGAGCAAGACCTCACCTCTGAACAGGGCTCCTCAACAAGCTCCTTAGGAAAGAAAACACATTTATAGACTCTCTTGTAGATGCCACAGAACCAAGCACAGAGAACTGTAACTCATCTGCAGCTCTTCTACAACCCATTTTGCCAGAGGAAGGGGGCTCAAGTTGCCCCATTTCTGGAGAACAGGTCAGGTAGGATGACAGAGACCCCATTTTCTTTAAAAAGAAAAAAAGCAAGTAGCTACTCCAGTAGAAGTCCTGTAGAGCTTCACTTACACATCTTACATTGGAGAACATTCAAGTCAAGTCCACTCAGTGCTGCCCTGTATTGACCTGTCTGCACCAAGGTTCCACACAGGGTGCAATCACTTCACCTCCAGCCCTGCAGTAAAGCCCCTGCACTTGATAGTTCCCACAGGGGGGGCAAAGAAAAGAGCTTGCTTCCATTTTTAATAGTTGGAAGACAGCTGCAAATTTTTTATTTGTTCACATGGGAAAGGATTTCTTCCTAAGAAGAGTGCCAGAAGCACTACACCCATGTGTGGATTTAAGTGTCTGACATCAGGTGCTTGGCTGGAGCTTTCAGCCTTCACCACATCAGCAGACAGGGTTAACTATGGCAGGGGAATTAAGGACGAGCCCGGGTCTTGGCTAGTCCCATCACCAGCTGGAAGAGCAATAAGAAACCAAGAAGAGAAGAAACCAAGCCCCCTACAGACTCCCGATGACCATCTGTAGCAGGACGTTACCGAACTAGT